ATTCTTACCTCCTTGTTGCTTTAGATATATATCTTATGATCCTTGTTTACAACTACTGCAACACGTGTAATCCATTCTTACCTCCTTGTTGCTTTAGATATATATCTTATGATCCTTGTTTACAACTACTGCAACACGTGTAATCCATTCTTACCTCCTTGTTGCTTTAGATATATATCTTATGATCCTTCTTTATAATTACTGCAACACGTGTAATCCATTCTTACTTCCTTGTTGTTTTAGCTACATACCCTGAATCATGCATTGTTTTAACAAGGTAACAGTAGAGTGGCGGCCATTATTGAATCATGCATTGTTTCAATAAGGGAACAGTAGAGTGGCGGCCATTATTGAATCATGCATTGTATTAGTAAGGAAACAGTAGAGTGGCGGCCATTATTGAATCATGCATTGTATTAGTAAGGAAACAGTAGAGTGGCGGCCATTATTGATTCATGCATTATTTTAACAAAGAAACAGTAGAGTGGCGGCCATTATTGAATCATGCAATGTTTTAATAACGTTAAGGAACAGTTACTCATTAATACTTTTTTTGTTAGCACAGGAACAAAAGACAGGAGATCGACTTTGTAGACGAAGTTCCCCCTCCTGGTACGTTTTCTCAACTTCGCTTCTCTCTGACACACCATTATTGACAAAGTGCCGTTCTACATCTCCCTCTCACTAATACAACCTACATTTATTTTATTACCTTTCTATTCAGTTACTGATAATATATATAACTCATAACATATATAATTCTAGACAACATGTAAATATTCTGTTGCTCAATAATAAGACGTTGAAACTGTTTGACTTAAAAAACCAACAGACACAGACACCAGTAATTGATACATCACGATTGAATCTAACAAACACAGACAGAAATATCTGATGCAGCATGACTGAAACTAACAAACATAGACAGAAGTAACTGATACAGAATGACAAACCAACAGAAACAGACAGAAGTAACTGATACAGAATGACAAAACCAACAGAAACAGACAGAAGTAACTGATACAGAATGATAAACCCAACAGAAACAGACAGAAGTAACTGATACAGAATGAAAAACCCAACAGAAACAGACAGAAGTAACTGATACAGAATGACAAAAACCAACAGAAACAGACAGAAGTAACTGATACAGAATGACAAAAACCAACAGAAACAGACAAAAGTAACTGATACAGAATGAAAAAACCCAACAGAAACAGGCAGAAGTAACTGATACAGAATGACAAAAACCAAAAGCCACAGACAGCAGTAATTGATACAGCACGAAGGACAAACAAATCTAAAGTAACTGACAGGAATTATTTCTACTCCATTAGTTGATAATCCTGATTGTTCCTATTCCACTAGTTGATAATCTTGATTCTTTCTGTTCCAGTAGTTGATAATCCCGATTCTTCCTATTCCACTAGTTGATAATCCCGATTCTTCCTATTCCACTAGTTGATAGTCCTGATTGTTCCTATTTCACAAGTTGATAATCCTGAGTGTTCCTATTCCACTAGTTGATAATCCTGATTGTTCCTATTCCACTAGTTGATAATCCTGATTGTTCCTATTCCACTAGTTGATAATCCCGATTCTTCCTATTCCAGCTAGTTGATAATCCCGATTCTTCCTATTCCACTAGTTGATAATCCCGATTCTTCCTATTCCACTAGTTGATAATCCCGATTCTTCCTATTCCAGTAGTTCATAATCCTGATTCTTCCTGTTCCACTAGTTGATAATCCCGATTCTTCCTATTCCAGTAGTTGATAATCCTGATTGTTCCTATTCCACTAGTTGATAATCCCGATTCTTCCTACTCCACTAGTTGATAATCCCGATTCTTCCTATTCCAGTAGTTGATAATCCCGATTCTTCCTATTCCAGTAGTTGATAATCCTGAGGATTCATGTGACTTTGGAAACGGGTTATTATTAAAGCTCTGTACTTGGTCAAATCCACTGAATACTCCTTCTAGTCTGCGGTGGAAAACTGGGCGTGGTGTTACTTCCAACTGGTTCGGAGGACCTCGAACTGACCACACTAGTGCCAATGCTGATGGTAAGTCTGTAACTGCTATTATGGCTAAGTGTAGAGGTCAAGTAATGACCAAACTAAAGTTCCACGTATTCCTAGTCATATAATTTCAGAATCACCTTTTCTCTGCCACAAATCACTGTCCTGGAGGAGTCATGTAAAAATAGATTTTAAGATACATTTTTTGTCTGCCATAAATCACTGTCCTGGAGGAGTCATGTAAAATAGATTTTCAGATACATTATTTGTCTGTCATAAATTACTGTCCTGGAGGAGTCATGTAAAATAGATTTTCAGATACATTTTCTGTCTGTCATAAATTACTGTCCTGGAGGAGTCATGTAAAATAGATTTTCAGATACATTATTTGTCTGTCATAAATTACTGTCCTGGAAGAGTCATGTAAAAATAGATTTTCAGATACATTTTCCAGATACATCACCACCCGCCGCCAACTCTTGGGCTATTCTTTTACTAACGAATAGTGGGATTGACCGTCACATTATAACGCCCCCATGGCTGAACGGGTGAGTATGTTTGGTGTGACGGAGATTAGAATTCGCGACCCTCAGATTGTAAGTAGATCGCCCCAACCTCCTGGCCATGCCGGGCCGGAAGGGTCATGTAAAAAGAGCTTTCCAGATACCTACTTTTTTTGAATGCCGCGTTCACTGCTCATGGGGCTTAGTGCAACAGCAGAACCTATCAGACGTGTTACATTTAACACATCCAGATGCTTGTCTGAAATGCAGTTCAAGACATTTTGGTCTAACAATAGTGATTAAAATCACGTTTGGCTATGGATAGTGGTGCCACCTATGTCTTCAATTTAGGCGTTTTTATAAATTAGTATTATTGTTTAGTAAGAAGGAAGTTTAACGTAATGTTATGGACATGGCTTTAATGTCTGGAATTTTTCCAAAATTTACGAAGCAGTTTAAACCATATATATATGTATAGGTACCGCTCCGTTATATATATATATATATATATACTAGTGTCCTCTTTGGTACAAGAAAGGAATCATTGGGACCCCAGACAAAAGAGTTCTGTGAAAGAACCAGAGCGATAAGGTTCGTCATTTTTTTTCTGTACGCTTGTCTGCGAATATCACTTACTTACTTACATAGATAAAAATTCATTAAAAATGGGAAATTTTGATCCACTCCATAAACACGTACATAATGATTTAGGCGGCTTTATAGCTTCAGTAAGCTTTATTTATGCTCAGCCAGTATTGGGAAATAGTCATTGTTAATACTCAGACATTTTAAAGGTGGTTTTTAAACAGGCGATTTTTATGGCCGCCATTTTGTTTCATCACGATCTCTACTATTAAGTATTACCATACTTAATGATAAACCATTTGTTGTGGTGTGTACGCCATTTAACAGATGGTGAGGAATGGCAATTACATTTGTCATAAGACATGTGTACATCATGTAATTGTAAACATTCTTCGCGTAAAACAGCGTAACAACTGAATATTTAAATATGTATGCTTTTCACGGTATTCTCACTGTAATTAGTTTTGAAGTTTGGACAACATTTTGAATTTTTAAGATTAATTTAGTTCGCTTAAAAACGTGCTTTGATCTAATTCAACGTGAATAATAACACTTCATTAAAACATTTTGACCTGAGATAATTTTTGTTTCTTTGTTCCCCCCCCTGAGAGCAGGCGGTTATGCCTTCTTCGAGACTTCCTATCGAGAAACGGATGACCAGCGTGAGCAGTTTCCAAACGGTCAAACATCACAGTTCCAGAATTCAGAACGAAGAACCACTGCTCTTCTGGTTAGTCAGAATATGAGTCAGACTGATCCTAGTGGCTTCTGTGTCAGCTTCTTCTATGCTATCAATGGCTTGAGTGCACAGAGTTTGAAGATGTTGCTCATAGATGGGGAAACTCTCGAAAAGCGGACTCTGTGGGAGAGTACAGATGGGCTAGAGGGCAGCTGGAGGAAGGGTGAAGTGGGCTACACGTACGAAAAGACTCACCAGGTAGAGGTTAATATTTGTATATAAATAGTACAGGGTGTGTCCACAACAACATTAATCAAGTCCATAAGGTGTAATTGAAGGTAAGATTATGGGTGTGCTGCAAGAACCTGAAACAAAGAAGTGTTCAAACCTAGTTTGTGTACTTAGCTCTAAAAAATCATAAGATATGTATCTAAAGCAACAAGGAGGTAAGAATGGATTACACGTGTTGCAGTAGTTGTAAAGAAGGATCATAAGATATGTATCCAAAGCAACAAGGAAGTAAGAATGGATTACACGTGTTGCAGTAGTTGTAAAGAAGGATCATAAGATATGTATCTAAAGCAACAAGGAAGTAAGAATGGATTACACGTGTTGCAGTAATTGTAAAGAAGGATCTAAGATATATATCTAAAGCAACAAGGAGGTAAGAATGGATTACACGTGTTGCAGTAGTTTTTTTTAACAAGGTAACAGTAGAGTGGCGGCCATTACCAATGCAT